TTCCCTCTTGCAAAATAACAATTCCTGAAATTCAGGGATGCGGCCCAGGCCCTTTTCCACGCAGAATAAATACATATATTTTTATTTTTAAGCTGTCACAGGAGGGATTAACCACCCGGCGCCGGAGCCACCCGGCTGGGCTTGGCACAGCTCGGGGCAGGACGTGGCGGAGGAGCCGGCCGTCCGGCTGTCCCTCCGTCTGGCTGGGATAAAACCCAAATAAGCCACTTGCACAGCCGGGCACCACCCCCGCACCCCCAAACCAGCAGGGGTGGGGTGAAGAGGAACGCAAATTTAAGGATTATTTTATTTTTTTTGCTTCCTTTTCCATATAAACAAGCGTGAAAATCCCCCGGATTTCGGCCGCCCCCAGGGAGMTGAGTGACCCCACATTCCCAGAGCTCATCCCGCATCCCCGGGGGGATTGCACCGACTGACCACSGCTCCGGAGCTGCCCGTGAGCACGGAAATGGCCGGAGCTCCGGGAGTGGCGGAGCGCGGCCGGCTGCGGGCAGATGGCCGGAGCTTGGCCGGAGGTGGCCGGAGGGAGCGCGCTGGCAGCCGGGAGCAGCCGGGAACCAGCCGGGCAGGCAGGCGGGCGGCCTGTGGCCATAGCACGGCCATCCCCGGCTACTCGGTGCCATCGCTTCCGCGCTACCGGCGGCTCCGAGCAGCAGGGACGGCCGGTACCGTGCGCGCAGCCGGTAGCGCCGGGGTGCTCGGTAGCACGGAAGGAGCCCCGGTAGCACGGAAGCAGCCCGGGATGGCCCGTACTGTGCCGGCAGCCGGGATGGCCGGGAATGTGCAGGCGCTGCCCGGCCGGGATTGGCTGCGGGGAATGACGCCCAGCACAACAAAGGTGGAGTTGGAGAAATTCCATTAAAAAAAATTAAGAGAGAGAGAGAGAGAGGGAGAGGGAGAGAGAGAGGAGAGAAAGGGAGCAGAGGGAGGGAGGAGGGGAGGAAGCTGCCCCTCGCCCGCCCCGCCGGGCAGAGCCCCCCCCGCCGCCGTGTCCCGGGGCCGCGGGGCGGGCAGGAGCGCGGCCCCGCCGTGCCGTGGGGGCCCGGCTCGGCTCCCC